TGCCCCTAGGAAGCAGAAAGGCTACAGAGCCATACCTACTCTCAGAGCACTGATAGCTGGTATGGAAATCAAGCACAAAGATAACTACCATCCCCCACCACAGCAAACCCTGTGACAGGCTACAGCCAAATATTCTCAAAGTGCGGCAAAGAGGGAAATTACTCCAGGTTGTGGCAGGAAAGAGTTCACAGGTATTGAATGCAAGTGGGATTTAAATAACCATTCAAATTAAACAACGCATTACGTGTGCCTAATATGTCTGCTTTCTGTGCTAGATCCTCAAGTTCTTAGGGTACAGTCTAGTAGAAGAGGCAGATAAATTCCACATATGCCTAAGTTTTTAAAGTAGTCTGTGCAACGGCCATTATGGAAAGATCCACCATGGCAAAATATGAGCCTATTTCCAACTGACTTCTTGAATTTCTTCCCTTCAGATTTGGGAATTTTCTACTTTTGGCCTCATTGAAGAGGAAGGCAAACATGACTCTAGTACACTACTCACATCTCGCTATAGCAAAAACAACACAACACACCTGCCAGCCCAGTCTGCTTCCACAGCCAGAGTGAAGAAGGATCACACTGTGAGGGGAAGGAAGGAGGCCAGGCAGCTGTTAAGAAAGAGTGGGCTGTGGGTGTTACAGGCAGGAACAGCAGTGACCACCCTTCGACTTCTGCTGGGTTAAGGAAAGTGTCACCACTCGAGATGCCTCCTGTGGACTGCAGCTCTTGCTAACTCACGTAGTGAGGGAAGTGTCAGGGAGGGAAGGGAAAGTGAGGAAGACTTCTTTTAAAAATTTAATTTTCCTCCATTCCAGCATGTAATCTGTAAGGCAAGGCAGGAATTTGAAAAGAACAGAGACATGAGTATATATAGCAGCTCTTGTAGCAATGACTATGTTTTTCTCTCTCATTGCAGTCTCAAGAGGAGAGGGCAAATGCGGGGTAAGGGGACTCTGTCTGTCTGGAGAGTGATTCTTATTGCCATTTCAAACAGCTTGCCTATCACTGGGGCACAGTAATGGAATCATTCCATACTGATGGCTACAAAATCACAACGAAAGGATGTTAAAGCTCAGTTAGTGATTCTGAAAGGGTTGCTTTACACCCAGTGGGCCAAAATGTTGAAGTACTGTGGGAGGGACGGTTCTGGGTTGGTCTCAGGTCTCACAGAAAAGGCAAAAGACACATTTTCCAGACCTGTGCAGAAAATCGCTAAAGCTGGAAAGTCACAGAAAGCTGGGTCACCAAAATAAATACTTTGCTATATTACCAGAAAGGAAGTTTCCTTACTCCTAGGGGATCTCTCTATTTCTGTGTATGCTTACTATCTCTTTCAATTCACTTGGTAAGGATTTGTTTCCACCACTATTGTCTAGCAAGACTAAGTGGATCTTGTTGAACACAGTCTTCCAAATCCTTTCCTTAGTTACACTTTTGTGATATGTTTGCCTCTATAGCAAGTAATCAAGAAGCACTGCAAAAGAAATAATAAGGAAGAAAAGAAAGACATTATCTTAAAGAAGTACTGGTAATAATAACAGCATTATTCTACATCAGAAAGAATGATTCCCAAAGCCAACATCTAACATTCTAACTTCCCAAGGAGATTTTTAAGATGTAGAAATTCTAGGGGCCAGGGATTCAACTCAGTGGTTCTGCTGCCTGCTTCGCAAGCACAATGTCCTGGGTTCGATCCCCAGTACCAAGAAAAAAAGAAAAAAAGAAACTCAGGTCTGACTTTAAACCCCAGTGTGAAATGCCATAATAATTAATAATGCTAATGATTCTGACCTTAGGAGATAAAACACAACCAAACTAATCTAAATAATTAAGCTACTTTGTGAGAGTTTTAGTCAACTTGATCAGTGCTTTTTAAATTGTATTCGTTAGAACTCTTGATCCACATGATATTAACAGGCATGGTTTTCTTTGTGAAAAGAAAAGTTTTCTGTGTGTAAATATTTTAGAAATTCAGGTTAAACAAAGTTAAGCAGTTTATTTCGTCTTTACCTTCTCAGAGCTTTCAACACTGTACACTCGGGATTTTGGGGGATGAGGCAGCCATGTACAGCAGTTCCCTGGTGGATTAGGCAAAGCTTTGTGTTTTCCTTTGTGAATCCCCCAGGGTAGAACGTCCTATCTACCACATGGGATGTGGGGAGTGCAGCTCAAGCAGGGTCATAGCTCTACAGCTCTGATACGTAAGGGTCCCAAAGCCGAGGACTAAGCAAACCCAAAATGAAGTGATAATTGTAAATTTAAAAGCAAGAGAGTTTTCTCTCCCTTTTTATACATGGAAGGTGTCCATTTCAAATTAGAATCACAGGTAAAGAGGAGAAAACGGATGATTATCAATTCATGGAAGCAAATTAGCATGTGACTCGCCTTGAAACCTGTCTTTGTTGTTGTTAAACGCTTCATTCACTTCTTGGGCTTTCTCTCTTTTCTAAATTTTTATTTATACTTTACCCATATGATTTCCTAAGTGAAATATGAGGAACGATCTCACATAATTCGATGTAGTTCACTTATAATTCAGCAAAGATGAAAGAATATTTTTAAACATCTTTTCCTCTTGTCTTCAAGCACTACCTTCCCCTATTATTTCTCTCTCTCTCTCTCTCTCTCTCTCTCTCTCTCTCTCCCTGCTCGCTCGCCACTTGACATAACTCACAGGGACGAATGCGCATATGATTATGCTTGCAAAATCTCAAGTGTGCGGACACATATTTGCAATATTGTCTGTGAGCTAAGAGCAGACCCACGGAGTATTAATTCTTCCACATTCACATGTTTTCCATCAGAAGAATTTCTGATCAAGCCTACAAGTAACTCGACATGATGAACTGTTTACTTTTTTTCTTTCCCACAGTCAGAAAGCCACTAATAGGTTAATTATCCAATTTAGAACAGTCTCAAATGTAATGCTCATGTGTGTTTTTTAAACATCTTAAAACACTTTTCTAAATATTCTCCTAAGAAATGGAGTATTTGTTTTTTTTCTTTCTCTCAATGAGTTTATTGGTACATTTTAGGTGTGCAGTACAGTTACATTCATCATTGGGATCTTGTACCTTTACATGACAGGTCTTGGTTCTCATTTTTTCCCCTTGTCCCTGGCCTCCCTTCACCCCCTCCTCCTCTCCCCATTTACAAACACTTTATTTCCATTTTTTCATTTTCTCATATTTTTTTCTTTTCCCTTATTACCTTTCCCCCACTCTTTCCACTTTCCCTACACCTTTAGCCCTTTTCTTCCTATTTCACATTGTCAATTATATCATTAGGATCATTTTACCATTATAGTTTTTCACACCAGAGAAACTATTTGGTATATACATGCGTGACTTATTTTACTTAGGAGTATATCCTCAATATGTATCAATTTTCCCATGAATGACTCTAATTTCTCATTTTTTATGGCTGAGTAGTATTCCATTTTTTAGAAAAACATCTTAAATGGAGAATTTGTTTTTGATAGATTTTTTTAAAATTACAATATATGTGAAAATATAAGATTAAAAAGTTTGCTTTAGTTCTACTAAGTATGAGAGAAAATTTCAAGTGAAGTATTTCACAAATTATAAGCATACTTGTCTTTAGCATTTCCTTTCATAGTCTCCCACTAAATTTTCCTAAATTTTAAAAACTTGTGTTTTTTTGACAGAAAATCTTTAATAATTTTGCTTCTGATATTTTAATATAGATTTCATAGATACTTGCTTTTCTTTTTTAATTCTTTTTTAAAAATTAATTTTATTGGTATACTTTTGATATACATGATGGCATTCATCATAGGAAACTTGTACCTGTACATAATATATTTGATTCTTCTTTTTCCCCCTTCCCCTCCCCTCTCTTCAACCCTTTTTCCCACCTCCATTCACAGAGCTTTATTTCCATTTTTTCCATCATTCTACTTTTATTTCCTTTTTCCTTCCCTACCTTCCTCCTCCTCTCCCCTCCTTTGTTCCCCTTCCCATTTGAACATTTTATTCCTATTTCCCAATATTTATCCATTTTGGTCCTTATTTACCCTTTTGGTTTCTTTCTTTTTTTTTCCCATTAAGTTTATTGGTACATTTAAGGCAAAGAATACAGTTACATTTATCCTTGGGATCTGGTACCTTTACATGATACATCTTGGTTCTTATTTTTTCCCCACTCCTCTGCCCTCCCTTCACCCCCTTCACCCTTCCATATTTACAAAGACGCTGTTTCCATTTTTTCCTTTTTTCATATTTATTCTTTTCCCTTATTGTTTTATTTATATTTCAAAAAAACTAAGGGCCACCACCTTCCTCACAAGTGCAAGGTCCTGAGTTCGATCCCCAGTACCAAAAAAGAAAAAAACAAAAAAACTATGATTATTGTGGGAAATTTATGAAACACCTATTAGAAATATAATCACATAAATTAACAATATATATCTATAAAATTATGCAGTAAAATGTTCAGCCATGTATCTATAGATAATTTTTTGAAAGATGATTTTTCTTTTTAAAAAACTTTTAATTTTTTTGGTACCGGGGATTGAACTCGGTCCTTGCACTTGCGAAGCAGGAAGTGGAACCACTGAGCTAAATCCCGGGCCCAAAAGATGATTTTTAACCTTTCTTAAAAAATTATTTGGTATCCTGCTTTCATATTTAATATACTATTAATCTCTCCCTATATTGTTAAACATTTTTCTCTAACACAATTTTAATAGCAATATACAATGCCACTAAATATAAATATATATGACATAATTTATATAATAAATCCACTCATGTAGAATATGTTATTTCTAATTTTTTGTATTATATTTATATTTAAAAGATTTTATTTTATTTATTTAGGATTAAAGCCAGAGCCTCCTAAATAGTGATCACATGCTCTATCCCTGATCTATACTCCTATCCTTAATAGTTTATAACTATTAACTTAAACCTTAATAGTTTTATAACTACATGTTTCTGTATTTTTCTTTTATTATCCCCCATATTTCTTTGTTTTAGCAATCCCCACCCTGAGCAAAACAGAAGCATGTCTACTTCTCTACATATTCATAAAACCAGGTAAGACTTTTAGAGGACCATAGAAATCTATCTGCACAGATATTTTGTCTTGTTTTAGTTTTTCTTGGATTTTTAATGGAATTTTTGAAAAGAGGGATAAAGGATTTGGGACAAGATAATTATCTTTAACAAGAACAGCTCCCTCCATCCCAACTCAATTTTAAATGGACGAAAGTATGTTTCTAGTACAAAGCGGTAAAGAGGGGACCTTCTGTCCTCCCTGCTTTCTATCAGACAAGCTAGAGAGATCCCAGCGTTCATGCAGTCTGGAGTGCTAGCAGTGTCCTTAGCAGAGTATCACTTCTAGTTTTAGTCTACACCAAGTATATGGATATTCCCATTTTTACCTCCCAGTCTTGGAGACAACACAGAGCAGTAACAAGTATCCATTGATATTGTAAGCCCTAGGAGAGTGCAAAATGCCCAGTTACTATATAGTGTTTGTAAATGGGGAGGGGAGGAGGGGGTGAAGGGAAGGCAGGGACAAGGGGAAAAAATGAGAACCAAGACCTGTCATGTAAAGGTACAAGATCCTAATGATGACTGTAACTGTACTGTATACCTAAAATGTACCCATAAACTCAATAAAAGGAAAAAGCATCACAGATTTCTTTTGTCATGTGTGATAAAAGTGATGAACCCAAGGGAAATAAAACAGGGTGAAAGAAAGAGGGGTGTGGTTATAGGGAAGAATGGAGGAAGGGAGACACAGAGTGAGGAAACACCAGGTATACTCTTAGAATGACAGTAAGTGTAAGAAAACAGATTAATCTATTACCTATTCTATTTTGCCTAAGGTTATATAATATACAGCATAATTACTTATAAAATTTACCAACATTAAAAGATGCTCATAATACATGAAATGGTTATATATAAGTGTATATATATAAATATATATATATATTCTCAGTTTATTACCTTATATAGTCCACATAATAAAACTTCACTTTTCTAAAGCGTTCTGAAAGTATCAAACAAGTCTGTCTTAATTATAAAATCAAAATATTGTGCTTTCTTTTGTTACTGAAGTATTTTCTAACCACATATTTTATTTGAACAAATAAACTTCACACTCTAACATGTAATACGACAAAAAGATATGATGTTTCTTAATGAAGTAATTAACTAGAAATAGAGTACTAATAGAGCTTTGATGAAACTATTGTTTCTAATGAAATATAAATGTTTTTTCAAGAAAAAGGAACATTCTGAAAGGAAAATAAAGCTTTTGCAAATATTGGAGTCATAGGATACTACAAAGAAAATGTCTAAAATGCTAAAAGAAATATTTTCATGAAAATAGAAAAATATGTGAAGATATATGTAATAAATAAAACTTTTTTTTTTTGGTACCAGGGATTGAACTCGGGTCTTTGCGCTTGCAAGGCAGGCCACCAAACCACTGAGCTAAATCCCCGGCCCATAAATAAAACTTTTAAATAATTGGTAATTTATTTTCCACTAGTAACTAGTGTTGAGAAATTCTATTTTTTAAAAAATCTGACACAAAATATAAAGAAAAAATTAATGCATGGAAACCACCAATAAATTAATCCAATGAGTAAACTAATCTAAAGATGTCATTTTTTCATACATTGCTACCCTAGTGAATTGTAAATTGCCATTTATATAAAACATGCAACTTGTAGCCTTTGAGCAAAATGTACTCCAGTCATCCTTCAATAATGCAGTATTTTAAGAATTTAAATTATCACAACAGTCCATTGTTTTGCCAAAGCTCTAAAATGAGGATCCTGGATTGGGAAAACGATTTTTTTTTTCAAGGTTAGCAGTGTAAATCAAAGAGGAAAATACTTGGTCAAACTCATTTTTTATTACAATGTAATCATGTTTTACAGCTGCCCATGGGATGTCTAGGAAATTACATCTGCAAGTTTAATCAAATAGCCAACATGAATGCTTATTTAATAATCAGTTCTTTTGTTATCTCTATTATGCAGATAAATATGACTGAGACAAGGTAGGGAATGATTATTGCCTTCTTAATCTTATTCTGGCTGCCAGTCTTGTTTTTCCTATTTGTAATTGCATATGTAAGCAGAGCAGTGAATGTGAGCTCACTAGAAAATTCAGACAGTGAAGCTTTTCTTAGTTTCCTGAGCAACATTTTGAGAGTTCAGAAACCCAGAGGGCTGCATTTAGTCTTTTGGGATATGTTTGTTCTTTTAACTCCTTATCAACTCAGACAGAAGCTAGTCCAGCTTGCATTGATGGAGACGGGGCAACTGGAAAATAATAAAACTCTTGGGTTGATAGGCACTTGAAAGAAGTACAGAATAAAATGAGGAAGCAAAGAGAAATGACCTGAGCAATCAAATCTATGATCAAATCACACAGGTTATATTTTAGTTCAAAGAACGTGAAGGAAATTGAGGCATGAAAATGGGAAACCAGCATTTGTCAGTATGGGTAACTAAATCTTAATTTGCAGGCATTGCTCTTAACATGAAATTTTCAAGCAAATTGCTGAGGTAAAAAAATCCATATATAATTAAATTAATATTTATCTCCTATGTTTGAAATCATTAGCTGTTTGATGTCTCCCGGTCACTTCCTCCCAAACACCCATGCTTAACACCATTCATCACTGCACTCATTCTTACACAATTCTTCCATTTCCCTACGCTCTTTTTCAAGTGCTAGTAGCATAAGAATCCAATTAGTTATTATTTCCAAAGTAATACTTTACAGAAGCATGCTAACTTTTTGTTTTACAGTAGAAGCTTACAATCAGAGTATGGTCAATCTGTGAGTGTATCTTTTCCTTTCAGTAAAATAAATTAGCTGCACTGTAAAATACATTTTTGTAGGGTCAGTCTTAATATTAGGAAGATGTTTAGATCTGAAGTCCCTATGTTCTTGGCTAAGTGTACAGTTGAATCAACAGCATTTGTTGTTGTAAAGGTCACAGTAGGTATTATATAAGCTAGCGACAAAAGTCACAAGACATTTCCAGCGAGGTGGAAGACAGGACTTCACCCAGGCTACTGTGAGGAAATAAAAAAAGGGACAGCCCAATAGTCCAGTCTCATCTTTGGGGTTCAAATCCTGCTATTACAAAGCCTGGCTTCCTCATTCACAAGCTGTATGACACTGAACAAGTTTTTAAAAGTCTCAATTTTTTTTTTTGTACCGGGGATCGAACTCCAGTCCTTATGCTTGCAAGGCAGGTGGCAGAACCATTGAGCTAAATCCCTGGCCCTATTTTTATTCTTTGATAAAACAGATAAAGGGTATCTACCTCACAGGCTTGGAGATGGTTAATTACATAAAATAATATGTGTATGGAACTGAGCACAGTGCTTCAAAGCCCTTAGTAGCTGCTATTAGCGCATGTGTGTGTACATATGTTGTAGAAGGTACTCTGCTAGCTATATAAGTAACAATGTGAAAGGAAGCATGAAAAGATGATTAACTGAAAAGCAAGAATAGACAATGAGCCAACCACCTCCTGATATGTAGAATGTGTGTGTGTGTGTGTGTGTGCATGTTTCTTACTTCAGAGTCAGAACTAACTTCAGAAAGTGGAATTTCTAAGCCCACAAGGATAAATAAGATAAAATTTCTTGTCCAATAAAACACAGAGTAAGAAAAGCAACATCCAAAAAACAATAGGTAGAACTACAACTTCATTAATCTCTAATCCTATGCATGATTCTTTCCTTCCTGAAATATACAAGCCTCTATAGGAAGGGTTGACCGTGACTCACAACTCACTCTGGACAGAGACTTACACCAGGAAAAATGAGCAGGACTACCTGTAAAACTATATGGAAAGAGGGTGTCTGAGTTCCATTTCATGGAATGTGAACCGAATGAGAAGGTTTCTAGTAACTGCTGTGAGGCACTCCATCTGTGAACAACAATGGGAATGTGATCACGTGCCCACAAACTAGACTATGATAAGTTTCCTGTTGTTAGGGTAATGCCATTTATACACTTATTTATAATTTTATGTTCTTCCCTTTCGTTTCATTACATTACATCCCATTGATTTCATTACAACTCATTGGTAGACATTTATTTTAGTGTGAAAGTAATTTAATAAACATAAAATCTGTGGATGTGAAAAACTATCTCAAAAATATAAGCAGATTTATTATACATAGCTGGAAAATATATCTTATATCAAGGTATTCATAAAATGAATTAAATTTTCTGTGTGTAAGTTCTTTGGAAATATACTTGCAGAGTCATTTACTTTTGATGTCAGAAATAACCTGGGAACAGATGAAAATTATAAGTGTAAGTCAAGAAGTATTTATATGCCACCAAGTAACTGAAGTAAAATAAAACCTTACAGAAGCAATAAATGAGTTCCCTGGAAAACACAAAGATGAAAACACTACTTAAAAACAAATTTAACATGGATTCAGTATCCATACAACAACTGCACAATAGAACACCTACCATCTTAGTAGGAAAATCTCTAGGAAAGTGACATTCAATCATTGGTTAAAAGCTCTAAAATCTAGAACACTGATAGTGAATCTTTTAGAGCTTTCAAAGATAAGAGCCCACTGCAGCACATGTGCCATAAATTGGCCAACACTGATCTAGAAACCATTCTTTAAGATTTTAAATGGTGAAAGGATTCAATCTCATTTTACTTTTGTAATTTGTTTTTTGTTTTGGCACCGGGGATTGAACTCGGGTCCTTGTGCTTGCGAGGCAGGCAGCAGAACCACTGAGCTAAATCCCTGGCCATATTTTTGTGATTTGTGCTTCTTGGTAAGACAGTTCTTTTATTGCATCATGAATCTCAATGCCAAGTTCTGAAGGGGATGCCAAAGTTCACTGCCTATGTGGGACTGGATGGGCAAAATTCCCTTCCATACTACAGGCATGTGAACAGTCCATGCCACTGGACTGAGCACACCCTGCCAGCACAGGGCACATTGAGGTGCTGCTGAGGTAGGAAAGTGGCGTGTCTTTATCAGTCACTGAGCCCTCCCTACCAACACTGATAAAGACAGGAACTCAGTTTCATAGCACTGACAAGTAAATATTCTGACTTGCGTGGATCACCCCAGTTAGCACTGTTAACAAAACTGTGACTATGAAGAGTTAATATTACTATTTCTATTTCACACGTAAGAAAGCTGAAGACTTCAACTTTCACAGGTCACAAACTTGCAAGTAATGACATTCAACTCCAGAGACTGTTTTTAGTCATATGTTATTCAACAAAATAATATGGATTGGAAGAACTAATGAGTGACTAAACAAATGAATAAGGCAGACTAAAATGAATTCAACACAATGATCATACTCCTAGTCACCCTTTCCAGTTTGAGGTAAAATATTCTTCAATTTCCATCTGTGAATTTCCCATATCAAAATTAGATCCCAAGGCCATCCCTTGGCATCCTTGGGCTTTGGGGCCACAGCTACTCAATAAATGAGCTAAAATGATGAAGAGAAATATCAGCAGGCAGAGACTGTGCTCTCCATGTGCTGACACAAAAACCACACATTTGAAGTCTTAGTCTATAACCTAATTAATCCAAAAATGAGTCAGTTTTTATTTCATCTGCTGAATTTATCGAACTGTTGTGATGTTTTGTTTTACAAATGCTCCCCAAATAACTGGATGTGAAAGTGCTATTTAACAATTAATTGAAATCATGCAGCTAATACTTACAATAACAATGTACAGATTAAAGCAAATTTCGTTAAAACATTCCTGTGACAACCTTTCTGATGTGTCAGCTTGGCTAAACTGCGGTCACCAGTGATTCAAACACTACTGTAGGTGAGGGTGTTTTCTTAATGTGATAAAAATCCACAATAAAGATTTTACTAGATGTTCTGGATGGAACAGCTAGCTAAAAGGCTGAGAAAACAGGACTGAGACTTCGCTGAAGAATAAATTTTGCCAGGGTAAAGTAGCTTCAACCTAGGAGCTCCAGGGAACCCTTCCTGATGTCCTGCCTGCAGAGTTCAGACTTACCTTGCCAGACCCCAGAACTGAGAAAGTCTACTCCTTGGGATAACTCTCTTAATATCTACCTTCTATTGGCTCTGCTTTTCTGGCTGAACACTGACCCATGCAATTATAAAGCATAGCACCAGCTAGGACTTCTTGCCACTTTTTGAATGATATGTGATGTTTAAATTAATGAGACAAAGATATTTGGGCATTTGATAAAGACATTGAACTTTTACTTACCTTTGTAACTCAAGGGACTATCATGCAGTAACTGCTTAACAAATGTCTTAAGAATGAATGAGGGGATGAATGAATGAACTGGTTTGGTTAGTGAGGTTTTCTTGTGTTTTACATCTCAGATGTATCACTTCAATGTTTGCAGAGCAAAGCACAGAAACTATGCCTCCTGATAAATAACTGAGAGCCTGTAATTCTTCCCATTTTAAAGGTACTAATGTATACCCTCAAATTTTATGAATCTCTTACCCAGGATGGCACTAAATGTAACTAACACTGAAATCTGAAAGTATAATTATCACCATAAGAAATAAGGAAAATGAGCCAGCCAAAGAAAAGGCTCAAAAAAGGGCTGAAGTCCACTAAGTTGGTTACCTAGATGTCAATTTCTAATTATAACGAGGTAAGTAGATGGATTTGGTCATCTCGGGTATTTCTACACACTGGGAATCAGCAACTTCAACTGCTGTCAGATAATATTGATTTTTGGATGTCCTCTAACATCATATACATGCAAATGAAACTCTATAAATAAAACTCCATGCCCTCCCATCTGAGGAAATTATTCTAGCCACTCTTCCTATCACAGCTTTGACCTCAAATGCCTGAACTCTTTAGCTTTGTATCTGAACTTGGAGGTAGCCAACAGGAGCCAGACATGTGCTGTTTTAGATAAAGCCACCAGGGCACTGGCCTCTCCAGGTTCATCAAGAGGGAACTGAGAGGAAAGAAAGAAAATAAAACTCCCTTCTTCATCGCCATTTAAGGACAATAACACACACACACACACA